CTTACACCAAAGATACCATCTTTGGAAGTCTGATGCCTTGCCTGGGGAGACTGATTGTATATGCCCAGTTGTCACATAATAATATATGGGACAAAAGGGAGTGTTGGCCTTTTGATTTTAGGAAAGGAAGGTAGAAATTAGAGATTATAGGCGGATCTATTCTAGGATGTAAAACTTGTTTCCCCTGTAAGCCTCAGGACAGGGGCAATAGGCATTATTAGAAACTTTGAGTCCATCTTCTAAGTACCACTTAAGTGATTATTTAAATAAATATGTACAGGGCTGATGTGGGTTTTTGTCCCCAGGGGTCCTTCGAGCTTTGGTGGAAGCATCCAGCTCAGGTGTGTCAGTATTGAGCCTGTGTGAGAAAGGTGATGCCATGATTGTGGGAGAGACAGGAAAAATCTTCAAGAAAGAGAAGGAAATGAAGAAAGGTAAAAAAAAGTCCTTCCCTTGATTTCCCAGGTTTGACCTTTATTTGATCATCTTTAATTTTATTATTATGATACAACCACCACTCTAATTCATTCAGCTTAATATTTGGAGTGGCAATTGGATGGTTTCCTACCCAGTCCAAACTGATTAAGTTGAATCAAGTTCCTAAAAAAAAAACCCAAACAAACAAAACCTTGCACTTCCTCTTAGGAGCAGTAAGGTTCCTGAGAGCAAGACAGTGAGGCTGATGCTTATTTTTACAGGTATTGCGTTTCCAACCAGCATTTCAGTAAATAACTGTGTGTGCCACTTCTCCCCTTTGAAGAGTGACCAGGATTATATTCTCAAGGAAGGTGACTTGGTAAAAATGTAAGGTTAAACCATTCTAGGGCATTTGTCTTTTATCTGCGCATTCATGTAGTGCTTGTTCTTAATACAGTGTTCTTTTTGCCTTTCAGTGACCTTGGGGTTCATGTGGATGGCTTCATTGCTAATGTGGCTCACACTTTTGTCATTGGTGTGCCCCAGGTAGGTAGGTGGCTGCCCACAGACATTAGCCAAATGGTCAGCTGGATTAGTAAACTTTCCAGGAAGACACTGATTACATTTCCTTATCTACAGGGGACTCAAGTAACAGGGAGGAAAGCAGATGTCATTAAGGCAGCTCACCTATGTGCTGAAGCTGCCCTACGCTTAGTCAAACCTGGAAACCAGGTAAGATGTATATCCAGCTCCAAAGCTTAGTAAATACAAACATGCATTAGGCATTTAGAACTACTCTATGGAATCAACAACTTCCCCAATAGTCCAGCTGTTTGTTTTTAATGAAACAGTCTCTTATGTAGTTCAGGCTGGACTAAAATTTATGATGTTCCTCTTGTCTTAGCCTCCTGAGTGCTGGGATTGTAGACATGTGCCATCTAAAAAGACTACATCAATCTGTTTTTCTGTCTCTCTTTCTCTGTCTATATCTATATCTATATAGATATAGATATATCCCAATGATAAAAGGTATCCGAGGGCTGACCAGATAGCTCAGTGGATGAAAGCTTCCTTCTTAGGCAGACACGGGCTGGGGGTTCGATCCCTGGCCTTTGGTGATCGAGACAGTGATTGAGACTGAGACTGGGTATGGTGGCACATGTGTGCGCCTGTAATCCCAGTGCTTGGGAGGCTAAAAAAACAGGAAGGATTACAAGTCCGATCTGTGTAGTGAGACCCTGTAGACCATGTGCTAAATACATTTTTTAAAAAAGGTATCAGAGGGCCGGGGAGATGGCTCAGTGGAATAAGCACTTCCCTGACAAGCGTAAGGGCCTGAGTTCAATCCCCAGTTCCACCAAAAAAAAAAAAAAAAACCAAAACAAAGGTATCAGAGTAAACATGTCAAAGACAGGCTAACGGTGGGCATGGTGGTACATATCTGCCCAGCACTATGGAAGGCTGAGGCAGGAGGATTGCAAGTTGGGAAGACCTTGTCTTAAAAAAAAAGTCTGGGTAAGTAGCTGAATGAAGGCCAAAGCTTCAGTGTCCAGAACCAGGAAAAAATAAACTAAAATTTGCTCTGTCATTTGCAAGTCAGGTAAGAACTCCACAGTGGTGGAGTTGTCATGAACTGTTAGAATTAAGCATGTTAGGGCTGGGGAGATAGCTCAGTGGACTAAGCGTCTGCCTAGCAAGCACAAGGACCTGAATTTGATACCCGTACCACATACTGTGCCAGCCCTGGAACCCCAAGTGTGCTGTGCCAGACCCAAAATGGGGTGTGGGACACACTTGTAATCCCAGTGCTAGGGAGGGTAAGACAGGAGATTCACTAGAGTCTGAGCTGTGTAGCAAGACCTTGTGCCAAATAAATAAAGAGGAAGAAGCATGTTAGATTGATAGTGGAGACATTTTGCTAATAGTTGACATTTCCAGAGAGCTATTTAATGCCAAAACATTGTGTTTTAGTTTTTTGTTTTTTTAATTTTACTTATTTGTGTGTGTGTGTGTGTGGCCAGCTCAGCCCACCAGGGGGTGGGGCTGGCTGGCATGTGGTGCTGGGGGATTGAACCGCGGTCCCTGTGCTTCGCTAAGCTTGTTCTAAGTAGGTGCTTTAGACCACTGAGCCATCTCACCAGCCCCTGTGTTTTAGTTTTTAGGGTTGTTTTTTTTTTTTTTTTTTTTTTTTTTTTTTTTTTTTTTTTGAAACTGACTGTAATAACATAGTCTGAGCTGGCCTCAACTCTGGGCACTAATACCTCAAGTGGGCTATTTCATACAATTATTATTAATGTATTATGTATTTCTATGGGAAAATAGAATTTTGTAGTGGCTAGTACATTATATGACTGACATCAGATGGGGTCTGTCCATATTGTATCACCATACTTTACTATTAGTATTTTAAAATAATGTTGAGGGGCTGGTGAGATGGCTCAGTGGTCTAAAGCACCTACTTAGAACAAGTTTAGCAAAGGACAGGGACCTCGGTTCAACCTCCCAGCACCACATGCCAGCCAGCCCCGCCCCCTGGTGGGCTGAGCTGGCCACACAGACATACACACAAATAAATAATTAATTAATTAATTTTTAAATAAATAAAAATAATGTTGAGTTTTGAAACTCTCATTGCTATTTGTTTCTCAATAAAATAAAAATAATGTCGAGGGTCTGGGGAGGTAGCTCAGTGGAGTAAGTGCTTGCCTGGCCAGTACAAGATTCTGAGGTCCTGAGTTCGATCCTTGGTACCACCAAATAAGTAAATAAAAATAAATAATGTTGAGCCAGGTGAGACACATCTGTAATCCCAGCAGTTGGGAAGCTGACAACAGTCTGAACTCTATAGTGATACCTTGTATCAAAAAAACAAAAACGGCCGGGGAGATAACTGAGTAGAATAGCGCAAGGTCCTGAGTTTAATCCCTGGTACCGCCAAAAAAAAAAAAAAAAACAGGGCTGGGGAGATAGCTCAGCAGCAAGCACAAGGTCCCAACTTTGACCCCCAAGTGCCACACGCACACACAAAACAGCTGACTGTGGTGGTGCACGTTTGTAATCCCAGCACTCAAGAGCTGAGACAGGAGGATCACTACAAATTTGAGGCCTGCCTGGGCTACATGGTGAGTTCAGAGCCAGCCTGGACTACACTCTGTCTCAAAAAATAAAACAACTCTGAGCTCAGATTTCTTTTATCTATAAAATGCAAAACATAAAGTTGTGCCTTATTCTCACAGTTATGAAAGTGTAAAGTGTTTATAGTAATACCTGGAACACAAATATTTAATAAATGGCGAGTAGTTTGGGCTGTATTTTGGGGGAGGTTTTTTTTTTGTTTTGTTTTTCTGTTTTCAACTTAAGTAAAGATCAGATCAGGTTTGAAAGGAGTAAAAGCTATGGCAAAAGAAAGGTTTGCTAGCCCCTCTTGAACAGAGTGCCAGGTAGGTATAAAGGAATAAATACTGAACTTTACATGGGAAAATCCATGTTTATGGTAGCGTTCTTCGACATACTTGTTTAACCTTGGGTGAATCAGTTAACCTTTTATGCTTACAGTAGAGAATTTATTAGCTCCTAATATCTCACCTTTTATTTGGTTTTGTACTTGTAGAACACACAAGTGACAGAAGCCTGGAACAAAGTTGCCCACTCATTTAATTGCACACCAATAGAAGGTGAGACCTCGATAACAGGGTCAAGGACCTAAGAATGAATAATTTTGCAGAATTACAGCTTTCACTCCCTCATCCTGGCTGTAGTTCAGTCTGAGCCAGAAACTTCAGTGCCCTGTTCCTGTAGCCAGGCACAGTGCTGGCATGGTCTGACTCCCTGAGTGGGTGTCTTTGGACCTTTTGGGATCTGGCTAGCTGGTACCACAGCCCCTGTCCTGTCTCCAGGTATGCTGTCACATCAGTTGAAGCAGCACGTCATCGACGGAGAGAAAACCATCATCCAGAATCCCACAGACCAGCAGAAGTAGGTGCCAACCCCATTCTTCCACCACACCAGCCATAAGCTATTCCCCCCGCCCCCATGCTCTCAACTTAATCACACCAGCCTTCTACTCCAGACCCTGAGAGCTATGGGTTAGGGGGGCAGGAATTGAACTCAGGACCTTGTGCTTGCTGGGCAGGTGCTGTGCTGCTGAGCAGTATCCTTGCCCCGTTACTCTTTATGGTCACCTTTTTCTCTATTCCTTTTAGGAAGGACCATGAAAAGGCTGAATTTGAGGTACATGAAGTATATGCTGTGGATGTTCTTGTCAGCTCAGGAGAGGGAAAGGCCAAGGATGCAGGACAGAGAACCACCATTTACAAATGAGACCCCTCCAAACAATATGGCCTGAAAATGAAAACTTCACGTGCCTTTTTCAGTGAGGTGGAAAGGCGTTTTGATGCTATGCCGTTTACTTTAAGGTACTACACTTAGCAAGAACAGGACTTAGAACCAGTTTGACTCAGACTACGCACCCAGGAATGCTTTTCCTTCCTTTCCTCTCCCCTCCTGCCCAGACTTGTAGTAGCGTGTACACTCAACATAGGTCCTGCCTTCCTCTCATTGAGGCTAGTGTAAAAGCAATCCTAGTGCTTGCTTTGGCAGAACGTATGGTAAAATTAGAACAGTGGAGAGATTGGCATGACCTCTGCATAAGGATGACATGCAGATTCACAAAGTACTTCTTTTTTTTTTTTCCCCGGCATGGGGGATCAAACTTCAACCTTATGCTTGCCAGTCAGGCACTTATCTTGCTGAGCTATCTCCGTGGCCCATGTTCCTTTTTTTTTTTTTTTTTTTTTTTTTTAAGAAAAAGGGGTTCTGGGGAGATGGCTCAATGGAATAAGTGCTTCTCTGGCAAGTGCAAGGGCCTGAGTTCAATCCCCAGTTCCGCAAAAAGAAAAAGAGGGTAGAGATGATTTCTGAGGCTGGGATGTAGCTCAATGATAGAATAAATACTAGCCTAGCGTGTATACCCTAGGACTAGTCAGCACTACAGAAAAACTAAAGCAAAATGGTGAGGCTTGGTGGGCAAGTTAAGGAGTCCTCTGAATTTCCCCTTTCCTTAACCAGAGCATTTGAAGATGAGAAGAAGGCTCGGATGGGTGTGGTGGAGTGTGCTAAACATGAGCTGCTGCAACCATTTAATGTTCTCTATGAGAAGGAGGGTGAGTTCTGAAGAGAATTCACTTTGGAGCCCTGCTTAAAAATGGTACCATTTTCCTTTTTTGTGTGTGGTACCGGGGATTGAATTCTGGACCTTATGCTTGCCCGGCAGGCACCTACACTGCTGAGCCAGCTCCCCAGCCCTTCTCCTAATTTTAGAAAAGAGCCAAGTTTGATAGCATCATTTCTTCAAAGCATATCTTCATTTTTCCCATAGGTGAATTTGTGGCCCAGTTTAAATTTACAGTCCTACTCATGCCCAATGGCCCCATGCGGATAACCAGTGGTCCCTTTAAGCCTGACCTCTACAAGTCAGAAATGGAGGTCCAGGATGCAGAGCTAAAGGCCCTCCTCCAGAGTTCTGCAAGTCGGAAAACCCAAAAAAAGAAGAAAAAGAAGGTGTGTTATGATTATACTCTTCTGGCAGGGAGACCTGGCTGCTGTTCCGCCTTCCTGGGTCATGATGGTGTACTACTGATTTTTTATTTCATTTTTATTCATTTATTTATTTTTGGAATCTTGATCTCACCCGACTCTGTCTTGCCACAGAGAATCAAGATACTTTTCTTTTTGTTATCTAGACAATTTCCTAATTAGTTAGAAACTGACATGTCTTCCTCTTGTCTTACAGGCCTCCAAGACTGCAGAGAATGCTACCAGCGGGGAAACACTAGAAGAGAATGGAGCTGGGGACTGAGGTGGGTCCTGTATCCCCAGCTTGC